CAGCCAGGGACACGGTGTAGATGACACCAATGCCGTCGACTTCCAGCACGCTCAGGTCGGGCTTCTCGTATCCGGTCGAGTTGGGCCTGTTGGGGAACATGCGTCGCTCGCCAATGCCGGCAATCGGCAGCACGTAGTCGATGCGCTTGAATTCAGCTTCGGCAGCTTCCCATGCCTTTCGTTGCGAGTCCCAGTCCGCGACGTCGACCTGGACCGTCCACACGACCTGATCGCCCGTGTTGAGTTCGTCGGCCAGCGTCTGAGCGCCCTTGAGGTCCCTGTCTGCCACGTAGACTTTGATTCTGTTGTTTCTGTCAGAAATACCCGATATACTGAGGAGGAAATGTAATACCCACCCCTTTTCTACCAGCATCTTGGTAACTGCTCGCCCGATACCGCTGGCACCGCCTAGCTCGAATTAGCCCATCACCAAGCAACATGGAACTTCGGGGCTTGACAAACCCGTCAGAAAAGCAGTTTGTCCTTTATACGACATTTTGGCTGGCTTGCAGGTCTCAGACTCCAGATCTCAAGACAGGTTATTCTTTCAATGCCACAAATCTAGAGGATGCTCTTCCCGATCATAACGGCTCTCTCTCTCTCTCAGCTCAAGTCTCCTGGAATCTGCCAGAGGACCAGACTCCGGCTCTCATAAGTATCCATCGTCAAAGCCACACGATGACCATATCGGTTCGACAGCTGAGAATAGCCGGATCAGCAGTGCGGGGAGAGGAAAGAACGTGAAGAGGGGTCACCAGGGGGTTTGATCTTGAGTGAAAAAGAAATCATGGAGCAGGCAATCGATTCCCGGGAGACACCAACTTCTCCAACATGAAAAAAACAACGCAGAACTTTGAACCGGTAATGTTCCCGGTAAAGTGCCGGTAGTTTCGCGATACCGACGACTCTACTACATTCATTCTCACAACCCGCCATGTTATGTATGGCAGTCATGGCACTGCTCCGATAGACCAACACGACACATACGTATAATACCATGGCAGACTACTCGCAGTACCAAGGGCCGAATCCCGAGTGGGACGAGTTTGTTCGAGTGAACGGCGTCGCGCCGACGGGATTGGCTCCTGGCCAGACACCGGCGGACTTGAGACGGTCGACGAATGCTCTGAGGGAGACGGCGGCCAAGATTGAACTCGAAGCATCAGGTGGGTTTTGCGCAGGTGTTTTGCTAGTTGTGTGATGGCACCAATGGTAGCACAGACAGACTGTGTGTGTGTGTGTGTGTGTGTGTGTGTGTGTGTGTGTGTGTGTGTGTGTGGGTGGGTGTGCTGCTTGGGTCAAGAGAAGATTGTCATATAAATCTATTCTCGATGGGTGTTTGATTGTCGCAACATATCCCCTCCGTCTATTCTATACCATCCATCTCTCAACAGCATCTTACCTCCCAATATGGCATTGTTCTATTTATGCTGACGCTTACCCCCGCCTCTTACAGGCCTCCTGGAAAAAGTGACCTGGCGAGACGCCGACATTCCCACACGCGACAACTCGACTGTCCCAGCACGCATCTACACCCCCAAAGGCGTCGACCCCTCTACCACCGGACCTCTACCCATCTACCTCTTCTTCCATGGCGGCGGCTACCTCTTTGGCAGTCTCGACACCGAGGACGCCAACTGCGCGCGCGTCGTGGCCATGTCTTCGATTCCCGTAATGGTCGTCCACGTCAATTACCGCCACACGCCGGACTTTCGGTACCCGACGCAGCACAACGACGCGTGGGACGCCTTCGTCTGGCTGGGCGAGAACATTGCCTCCTACGGCGGTGACCGCGAGAGGGTAATCGTCGGGGGCATCTCCGCGGGAGGCGGACTGACCGCGTCGGTCGTGCTCCGAGCACAAGGACGCCAGAAGAACGACGACAGGGACAGTCCTGCCAAAATCATCGGCCAACTCCTCCTCATCCCCTGGATCATGCACCCCAAAGCCTACCCGTTCGACCTGCTCGTGTCGACGGAGCGGTCCAGCTTCCATCAAAACGCCAACGCGCCCGTGCTCCCGCACTCGCAGATCGACATGTTTCTCGGCGTCTTCGACAGCGAAGACACCGACCCGGCGGATATTTACTTGAGTCCGGTGCTGGCGCCGGACGACAAGGTGAGGGGCATGCCCAAGACGGTCGTCGTGGCGGCCGGCATGGATCCTTTGAGGGATGAGGCGCTCCTGTATGCGGACAAGTTGAAGAAGAACGGGTGAGTTTCTTTCCTCCTCAGTATCCTTTCCTTCTGCTTCTGCTTCTGTCACTGTCACAGTCGCCACTACTGCACCCTACTACCTACACGTCCACCCAACTTGTTATTTTCTCATCTTCTCCGTAAATATACCACGCACACCGACCTGACCGCGATATCTAGCGTCCCCACCCGCGTCCACGTCTTCCCCGGCCTCCCACACGGTTTTCGGCGCTTCGCCACGCTCAAGGCCAGCGCGCGGTGGGACACCGTGATTGTCGAGGGGATCCAGTGGTGTTTATCCGAGAACCGGGAGAGTTCTACGCAAGTTGAACTCTAGGGGTGGAGAGAAAGAGAGAGACAGAGGAGCTAGAAAAGGGTAAAATTGACCTTAAACTGACGGAGGGAGCTTGAAAGTGGTAGATGGTGTAGAGAGTCCATGGATCAGATATCAGATCAGAGATTAGAGAGGTATAGACCAGAGATTATAAGCGCGCGAGTATATATACCACAGGATACTTGGGGTCAGGCTCGAAGGCTGTATTGGGCCTTGTACTCAGCGTGAGAAGATGGAAGAGTTGTCAGTAGCTTCGGTAGATAGATGAATTGGATAGATAGACAGACAAGATGGAGTGAGAAGGCGACAAGACGGCAGTATGATTATATACCGCGCCCTCCTCCCAGACAGGTACATACGCTAGGATTTTTAACATTTATGTATTCACTACCTCGTCTCGCTCGACCATGTCTAATCATTCACTCACTCACTCAGCGTCGTCCTTTAGAATCTTCAGCACCGTCGACATGGCCCCGTCCTTGCCGCTGACCAGGTTCAGCCGCGTGGGGCCCGGATTGTTGAAGAGAGGGATGACGCGCCACGACGCGGGTGGCTCGTCGATGACCTCGAGCAACGTGCCGGGCGGGTACTTGTCACCGGGGTTCTCGGCCAGGGCGATCATGGCGTCGGCGATGACGGTCGGCGAGAGGAGCGTGTCCTTGGTCGGGTCGACCCAGCCAGCGACGCCGGGGTCTTCCATGAGGAGGGGGGTGGCGATTGGTCTTTTTGGCGAGGAATCACGAGGGTTAGTTTCCTTCTGTAGGACTGAGATGAAGGCGGGAGGCAGGGGTGGGTGATGTATAAGGAGAGAGTAGGGAGGAGAAACGAAAAGGGGAAAGAGTCTCAGGGGAGTCAGTTGTCAACAGATAGCATGACACCACCTTCCACCCTGATCCTCTGGCGACTTTTAAAGACGAACAGGGACTCAACGCTCAACGTCTCACAGGGATCACTGTAGAATACATACCCTGGCGCCACACCCACCACGCGCACGCCACAAACCTGCTCCGCCGCCGCCATGCCCATGACGAAGCTGCCCACGCCGTGCTTGGACGCCTGGTACAGGGGCGTGATGAAACTGACCGTCTCGGCCGCGACGCTGGCGATGAGGACGACGGTGCCGGTCTTCTTCGCGCGCATCAGGTGCCGGATGGCCATGCGGGTCATCTTGATTGGGTGGACGAGGTTGATGTCAAAGTGCTTGTAGTGCGAGGGGGAGTCGACGTCGCCCCAGAATCCGGAGGTTGGCTTTTTTTCACGTTTGCGACGGTGTCAGTCGACAAGATGGTCTCACCCGATGGCAGGGGACAAGAGAAGGAGGCAGATGAATGGCGAAGTGGTCGAAGGAATAGATCTTCCTGCATTGTCCCCTCCACTGGCAAGTGACTTACAGGCTCATAGATGCCCGCCCCCGGACACACCAGGTCCGGCACGGCGCCAAACTCCCTCTTTGCGACCTCAAACGACTTCTCTAGCTGCGCCCAGTCCGTCACGTCGGTCGGCTCAAAGACGACCTTGGGCCCACTACCACCCTTTTGCGCGACCGAGTCCACGAATGCCCGGGCTTCAGGCCGCAGGCTGATGTCGGCGATCAGGACGCTGCATCCTTTGGCGACCAGGGCTTGTGCAAAGGCCAGATTTATCCCTGGTCAAACTGGTAATCAGTAGGTACGTTGTGTGAGTGAGTGTGGAGGCAAGCGTCCAATGGATAAAGTTCTGGGAGGGGAGGGATGGTATACTCGTAAAGGGAACAATGGTAGGGATAATGTAGGTATATTGTATAGTATGGTCTTCTTACCGGATCCCGCGCCTGTGACAATGGCAGACGCGCCCTGAAGGTTGAGGCCAGGCATGTTCAAGACAAGGGTGCGTACAACACTGGTGCTCTTGCTGTAGGTCTCAGGGACAACAACAAACCCGTGATTTCAAGACTGTGAGTTTTTCTCCAAAGGACTTGGATGGCACTCATTAGCACCAGTATATCAGGCACCCGCTGAGGAGAAGGAGAAGCATTCAGAGGCGGTGGTGGTGGATCTGTCGGGCCTCGGTAAGCATTTCGATATACATGATATTCCCCCACTTCCGTATCTCACGGGTTGGACTCCTCGATTCAGTTCGTGAGACATGGGGAGTACTGATTAATTGGAGTGATGCCCCTCCATGATTTGGTCCCGTGTGGCTCTGTGGCTCTGTGGCTCTGGCTGTGGAGTTACGGTTTGCGGTTAAAACATGTTTGTTTGGCTTCCCCGCAAGGATCTTTGAGACTAGAAACCCCGTGTCCAGAGGGTTCTTATCAGTAGGTATACAATGCGAACATTGTTCACCAATCCCCGACAAGACAAACCGCCGAAGCCGTGCCCGGAAACAACACAGGGGAAAAGTAAAGCGGCAAAGAACTGTTTCGTGATTTGGCAGAGAATACCCAAAAATAAAGGCATTGCATCGATCCGACTTCGCACAGGCAGTCTCAGTCAGCTCTCAACGGAATAGTGGTCGATATGCCAGATGTCATCATTGTCCTGGTCCTCGGCGTGATGAATGAGAGAAATAGTTAGTGGGACTTGCGCTGTAGAGAGCACTCTCGCCTCCGCCTTCTGAGAACAATCCTCACAGTGCTCGCCGTCGCCGTCGCCAAATGCCCGGCCGAAGGTGTAGACGCTGCCTACATGTCGCAGATGCTCCAAAGCAGACACGTTGCCCGAAATCTCGGCGTTAATCACGTCACCGATGAAGAAATGGATGCTGTAGGGTCTCCCTCCAAGCGCGTACCTGTGACCAGAAGTATCTCCATCGTGTCAGTAGAGCCGCTCAACTTACCGATCATAGATGATGTTGATCAAGCAATCGGGGTAAATGTCTTGGTCGATTTCCTCGAGACCTGTCTGACCGTCTCCCTCTCGATTAGATCCGCCTGGCTGATCAGTTGGAACAGTGTCTCCGACAAGATCGTGGGTATCATCAGCTCGGGCTTTGGTGTTCTGTTGTGAAGAGAGAACTCGAGAGCTCAATTGAGCCTTTGGCGCACTGACAACCGATTGCGAGGTTCGTGTGACAACTTTTCCCGTCATATTATAGTGCTCGAGGGCGGTTTCAAGACCGGCGATAGAGCCTGCATTTTGAATCGTATCATAACGATATCCAAAGTCTGTCCACGAATGGGTATCGTCAGAATTCCAGTGTCTGAGGGCACCATTTGCCGGGTCAGTTCTCTGGAACGGCCGAAGAGGTGAGGTGGAATTGGGGTCCGATACTCCAGTTTGGGAGTCAACCCATTACCTCCTATCATACCCTGCTTCGGTCAGTTCTGCTTGGCTGATGCGTCAACAAGAGCCAGACGACATCTTAAATGGAGGCTGTCGTGAATCATTTCCCAAGACAAGTATCCCTGCCAACTAGCCGGTGGCTTTTGGTTGGACGAAATGGTGTTTCCAAAGTCGCGATACGTCAAGGTATACTTTGGTGAAAGAAGCCGATACACAAGGTCGCAGACGAGATGATAAGACTTGGACGTTCCGACCTTGACCTTGACGGTGATTTTGCTATGGATGTTTGCCTGCAGCAATTCCGCGTTGGTGAAGCCGGAGAAATCGGTGGTGTTCTTTGTGATTCCCCTCTGCTTGTGCCGGAACATTGGGACCACTATCGAAGTTAGACAATATGCACAAGCCAGGAAATGGGCAAGTTCCTGGTTCGGGCCGCTGTCGCTCATCTTGTTCTCTTTCAGCGAATCGTCTCCCATTCTGAGGAGCTTGCCATTCACAATCAACTGATACCGATATAGAGGATTTTCCTTGATCAAGGTAGTGGTGGAGGTGCCTTCAGCTTTCTTTGGACCCTGGATGGATATGCTCTGGTTCAATAGAATGTCGGGGACCACTACGTCGGGTAATGCCCAGTCGAAGGACGGTAGACGCCATCGACCACGTTCTTTCACCCACTGATCCTTTTCGCCGCCGAACGGGAAGGTCAGTTCATCAATGACTTCTTTCATGATTTCATAGATTTTTTGCTGCACTGAATTAGCAGTTTCTCAGCACATCTGTCAGGGACTGAGGTGTATGTACCTCAAATAGTAGCATACAAGGCCTATGACATGTCGGAAACGTGATCTCGTTGTGCGCACAGAAGCCTTTTGGATCTCCGTGTATGCCTTTTCGTCGTAAGTCAAGGGCATCAAAATCGATGGTTTAGCGGATCAAGCGGCAATGTAATCCAACCCACCAGCTACCTGAAAGGACTGAGCATTCGTCTCGAAAACTCCCTTAGTGTAGAACTTTTGCACAGCACGAACGAGTAGCGACAGTTGAAGCGGGTTGTTGGAGGCCCAAGCCTTGACTTCTTGACGCAAGGGAATTGGACTTTCAGGTTGGCTTAATGCCATTGACGGGGTAGTTGGCTAAGAATTCGCCGACCGTTGTAGTCCGTTGATGTGATTGACTGAGAGGTTAAACATGACGGACCTGCGGTCGTCAAGAATTCAACGATCGATGAGGCTTGCGTTGCAGCAGCCTTGCCTGCATCGAGCTTATGCCTGTCGCATGACAGTAGAAAGACTTTGGAGCGGTTTTGTCACATGGTCCCTGTAGGAGATTCTCATGGTAGCACAGCATGGGAGGCTGGATGAGGCTGGACAAGAAAGGGACGGAACAACGCGAGGATGGCTTGTAGATGAAGGAGCCACCTCTTGCAAGGCCAGCCCCCGTGATGCAAAAGATATGAAATCGCATAGTAATTGTGACTTTCCCACATTTCAGCTGAGGCAGAAGCAGGCAGGTTGGGGGAATAAGGACGGCGCCAGTCCTTTTGTAGCTTGATTGATCATGAGCGAGTAAACACTAGACTCAGCCTTGTGAAATACGGCGAGAAAGTGGAAGAGCAAAGCATCGTCTTCCAAGCAAATTGCTCGGGATTCGAGACCGGATATTGGGGGTGATGTGACTGGTGTGATTACAGGCACGCGTACATGTCTGCATACTCTGTCCAGGCGTGTCTTTCTCCAGAGACATGTGATATGTTCATGTTCACCACTTCAGCTGGAGGGTTGTTTTCGGCAGAAATGAGAGCGCCACATTGTATTTGGCGTTTCTTGCTGGTCATCTGGACATGCGTTGAGGTGGAGGACGTCTTTGTTGTTATCACAAACCGCGTCTCGTAGTATTCCTCTAGTCCGATTAGGGTTAGTGTATTTCGGAATACTTTCCTATACAACTTACCCCATCTCCGTGAAGTTCGTCTTGTCTCGCACATCTTCACAGTTCAAAGTAATTTCCAGGTGGTTGCTACAGGGCGTGTTTCGTGCCTCAATATTCCTCGTCTCAACTACACCATCTCAGCCAATTTGGCTTCGTGGTGAAGAACTCCTTGCTTCTCTAATCCTAGAGAAGGACAGACAATTGTGCCTCGGCATATAGAAACTGCTCCAACTCGATACCCGGCAGGACAAGCCCCAGGACAGACAAAGTAACCAACTAATACTAAGCATGCTTGCCATAACGTTACCTTAGCTTGTCATCCGGTCTTCCAGTTATCTCCAGATTTATAGATCCACGACTTTGTTATAAACAGGCGTTGGCTCAAGTTCGGATTATCGCTGTTCAATGTCGTGAAGCTCCCGCTGTGTCAGTCCCGATCTCCTACCCCAGAGGCATACATCTAGTCTGGGTATAAGTCACATTTCTCCAGCCATGGCTCCGAGCAAAGAGGCAGAGCCTAAACCGCTAGATTTCGAAACACACCTTGAGCTGAAGCAGACCGGCCCCGTACGTAACGAGCCAACAGACACCGACTAACAGGGAACCTGACTGACGCACATTGACAGGATACCTTCACAAACGTCCATGAACCATGGGTATTCCACATCACAAACACATATCCAGGACCGTTGATGATGGCCCAGGCGGCCGCGGCCGCGTGGAAGACCGTCCCCGATGGCTTCATGCTGGACTCGCTACAGACGTACTTCATGCTGGCACCGAGCCCGAAAAAGCCGTTGACGTACAAGGTGCAACGGATTGGCAACGGCCGACGATTTGCAGTGCGGATCGTGACCATTGAACAGGACGAAAAGGCCTGCGTGACCATCACCACGAGTTTCGTCAATGCTGCTCCTTGGTCGGGTCGGGCCATGAACCACGCCGTGTCGATGAGGATCGATAGGCGCAAGCGGGAAATCAACCTGGATGATTTTGGAATGATGCGGACACAGCAAGGGCCGTTTATGAAATTCGAGAGACTACCACATGTACACGAAGGTTTGTCCTGTTCTCTTCCTAGCCGTCTCGACCAAGGGGCGTTTTACTGACGCCTTCTGCCTCAGACCCCAAGAGTCCCGCCACAACGATAGCGCCGGTCATTGCGCAGATCGACCCGCCCATCTCATCACCGAGGGGTGCTGCGGCTCACATTCTCGGCATCATCCACGCCTCCGACTACCATGTCATGGACTGTCCGTTGAGCATCCACGGCGTGCCGCACGGGTCCTGGCCCATCGGAGACCAGACCAAGACGCCGCTCCCGTCCGCGATGAAGATCATGACCAGTCTGAACCACACGATCCACTTCCACGCCCACAACGGCTTCCGGGCCGACGAGCTGCTGTACATCGAGGTCACGTCACCGTGGGCCAAGGACGGGAGAGCCATGATGAACTCGAGGATTTACAGCAAACAGGGCTTCTTGATTGCGACTGTTGTACAAGAGGTATGACGATGATATACTTTTGAATCGCGAGTCCCCATCACAGACTAACAATCAGGGATAGGCTTTCTACGTCTTCAAAGAAGAGAGCAGTGCTAAGCTCTGATGGACACTGCAGCATGAGTCAAGCCAAGGGTAGGAGAGGGGATGGGATGGGAGGACTTTGGAAAGATGATTTCTGCGGTTCTAGCATCACGAATCTGCTACAGAGCGCGCCATTTCACATCGTGCTATATCAGAGATATCTGAAGTCCGCCCATTGTGGTATTGATCAAATCGAGGATGCGATAGAGAGGACGAATCTCCATAGACTTGTCAGCCGTACAGGCAAACAGGACATGAAGACTCTGTGCATATACTTCACCGTAGCGAGTCCTCCAGAGCATATAAACTCTAGCGCAATTTCAATATCATTCTTCTCAACCACATCCATCCATCTCCTCTGCAATTCCATACGAGCATTGACGATAAATCCAAGACCTGCACCCGAAACATCGCCTCGAGATCGGCAGTTGAACTCTTCACAAGCATACGCCCGTGTTCGAACGCCGCTTTACCACCATCATGCAGTGTCCCCGCCAGGACGACCGCAGATGAAGTTTCAAAATTCGAGTGCCAAAAACACCTTGGCTCTACAAGTAGCGTCGACGTGGTCCCCAAAATGTCCGAGTCACTCAACGTCATTGCCCTGATATCGGGCGGCAAGGACTCGTTGTTCAGCGTCCTGCACTGTCTGCAAAACGGGCACGGGGTCGTCGCGCTGGCTAACCTCTACCCGAGCACGAGCCGCGAACAACAAAAAGGAGATGCTCTCTCAAACGGTCCTCGCGAAGAGGACGGGTCGGAAGAAAGCGATCTAAACAGCTTCATGTACCAGACGGTTGGACACTCCGTGATCCCCCTGTATCCAGAGTGTCTCGGCATCCCGCTCTACCGGCGGGAGATCACGGGCTCGGCGGTGCAGATGGGTCGCTATTACGATGCAGGGCAAGGCCAACTTGATGTCGCGGCCGATGAGACTGAGGACCTGGTGCCCCTGTTGAGACAAGTCATGCAGGCTCACCCCGAGGCGAATGCTCTGTGTTCAGGCGCCATACTCTCGACGTACCAACGGACCAGGGTCGAGTCTGTGGCGGTCCGGCTCGGTCTAACCCCGCTGGCATACCTCTGGCAATATCCTGCTCTTCCTCCGCCAGCGGGACGAGGCGAGTCCCTGAGTGGGTTGCTGGACGACATGAACGCCGCGGGGTGTGATGCCAGAATCATCAAGATCGCGAGCGGAGGCATCAAAGAGAGTCTTTTGTGGGCCAACGTCGCAGACCCGAAAACCCAGCTGAGGCTCGTCAACGGGCTACGGCCTTTCTTTCCCGGGCACGAGTTTTGGCTCCGTGGAGCGGTCCTGGGAGAAGGGGGAGAATACGAGACGCTGGCTGTCAACGGGCCCCGAAGAGTTTGGAGGAGGAGAATTGTCATTCCCCCAGAGCACCAATCCACTTATACTGGGGAAGGGGGCGTGAGTTACCTCCGATTGGCGAAGTCTGAGACAGAGGAGAACATTGCAGACCCACCAGAGGCCCAGGAAGAGGCTCTTAGGATACCGCGAGCGTTGGACGCCCAGTTCCAGGCCGTTCTGGCTGCGGTGGAAGCTCAAGAAGCGGCGAATGTCGACAGAAATGCCGACAGGCTCAACGAAGCAGACTCAAAGTCGTCACTACAGAGGCTGGACTCTTCCTTGCGAAGGACCACGTGTCTGGCCTCGAGACACATGTCGATATGTAACATTACTTGGAGTGACCCGAGCGTTGACGGGAGTTCAGGCAGCGCTGCCCGCCAGATGCAAGGTATATGTGATCAGCTGCAATCCTTGCTCGAGTCGGAGACAAGTTCTCTCGCCAGCCAGGTGAGGCTTACGCCGTCCAACATCGTCTCCGCCGTCTTATTGTTAAAGGATATGTCGAATTTTGGGGCGATCAACCCGATCTACGCTTCGATATTCCGCTCGGGCGAACCTAACCCTCCAGCACGCGTGACCATCGCATGTCCATTGCCAGGAAACACCCAAGTGAGCTTGAACGTGCTGCTCGACCTGGGACCTCGCGACGAACGGCGGGGGCTGCACGTGCAGAGTCGGAGCTACTGGGCGCCAGCGAATATCGGCCCATATAGTCAAGCCATCTGTGTGCCAGTGGACAGGGAAGGGGAATCGGAACTCAATGTCCACGACGCAGAACTGGTGGAGATGGTCCATATGGCCGGACAGATCCCTCTTGTTCCGCACACCATGGACCTCTCACA